CTGACCCTACAAGCTGGCTGGCTTTTGGCATCAACTAAGTGCTACCATTGTTCAGTACTTTGATCTCTTGCTGGGTGCTCACATGCCCACTTAGCCTTTACTGCTTCTGCTGGTCCACAGTCATGTAGCCCATTCAGTCCTGCCCTGAGCCTCATAAGAGAGAAACTCTAGGCTGATAAAAAATAAGACACACAGTGAGTTAATTTGTGGTACCCATGAGATGCGCCGTTCTTTCACTGGAGATTCACATGTGCCATATTACAAGTAGGTGCTAGCTATGTCATGTGATAGGTGGATAATGAGTACACTAAGCTACTGGCATGGATTCTGATAGGCTATGCTGACACCTGATGTGACAGCTACGTACCAAGGTGTACGTATGAACTCAGGTATGCAGAGCTACTGGAAGAAAGGAAGAAGCCATGTTTCCTTGTGGTTTGAGATTCGGCTTCTGCTCTTAGATGTTTTTGGTTAAACCTGACCCATTGCTTAGCTATGAGCAATAGCAGTGTGCTGGGCGTTTTTTTTTTGTTGACCCAGACCAGCTAAAGCTCTCACTCCAATTTCCACTCAATCGCACTGGGTCAGGGTCATGACAAGAGTTCACCAGCAGAACCCATCCTAAGCTACCAGTTTCAAGTGCCGTCTCAAGCCCGCGTTCACAGCCCCCTGCAATCTACTCATAAGGATGCAGATTTTCAGACATGCCGAGGTCCCACAACTCCAGGAGGAAGCTGCAGGGGCTCTGAAAAAAATCAGACCCCGTGTCTTTGGCAAGACAACAGACATCTCACGTTAGCCAGCTAACGGACAGAAAACCTGTCACGCCTTTGCTCCAGCGCTTCTGGAGCAGACGTGCACACCTGCCTTTGGTGGAGAAATTACTGCGCCACTGCTCTGCCCGTCCTGTCACTATTTGCACAAGGGAATTCACACACACACACAGCAAACTCTGCAGCGATATCCATCTTTAACAAGCAATCCGATTGTAAGTACCCACTTCACAGTATCTCCAGGTTTTTCAGTATAATTGCATTCAACCTGCCTTTCTCCAATCAAGTTTTGCTGGTTGCCTAAGCTGACATGAGATCTCTCTCTCTCGCTCACTCCGTTTCAAAGTATGCTTTTACAGTGATAAAGCGACCACATTAGCCTCCTACCTTTCTTGATGATCAACAAATTGACTTCTCCGGATGTTTTTCCTGTGAGCAATCCCAGCTTTCTCCTACTCCACCCCCTTCTTTTTCCGTATGTTACTACTTGCGCTGCCATTGCTGCCCTAGCCAGAGCCGTGTGGAAGCTGCGTTACGATCTGAAAGTGAGATCAGGACCTTTAATTTCCAGCGTGGCAGCTGTTGTTTACATTCTTTTGTTGTTTCTTTTTTTTTTTTTTTAAAACCACACTTATTGGTCTCTGTGATGCTCTCGCTCTCCCACACATGTACTTTAACAGGAAACAAGGGGTGGGCGCTGCAGGAGGGGGGGTTTCCTGTTCTATAGCTTCTGAGACACGTAACTGACTTTCTGATGTTTGCCAAAATTGAGATCAAAAGATGTGAACCCCTGAGAGAAGGGAAATTAAACTCCATTAAAAGCACACTGCTTACTAAGAGACAAAATCTGAGACGTTCCCCTCGTTAGATAAGCCCTAACAAGTGAGTTAGACTCTTCACGTGAGATTAAGAGGCATCCTTTGTAGATGCAAACTTTTTTCCTGTTGGGGGACAAACTCATCAGCACCGTCTTTTAGCTGAGACAGAGATCCTGACCAGCCACAGCTATCAGAGATCCCGTGATGCTTCTTATTACAGCAAGGACATCATGTCCGAATCCTTACAACAAGGACGTCACGCCCGAATCAACGCTACCAACGGGAGGTCATGCCCGAACCAACACTACCAACTGTTGAAACTTAGCTGACTTGGGGAGGGGTTACGTGGCAACTGATGATCAGCACATAGTGCCCCTGCACCACATTTTAGGTAGTTCGGAAGACAGTATCTAGTTGAAACAGTGGAGGGGAATGGATGGATGGTCTTATAGGCTAGAAGAAGGCAATTCCTCTGTTTCTGTCTGCACCATGAAGGATCTAAAAGGTATTTGCAGATTGGATGAATACCAGGCAGTTTGCTGTGGCAGTGATGGTGGTAAAGAGAGAAAGTTTTAGTGCGTGGTCACAGTACAACAGAAGAGATGGAATCAGCAGGGCTCAGCAGCAGCATTGGTGCTACCCTGTCCTGTGTAAAATAGACATGGGTGGATCTAGGATTTTGAAGAGGGGGACATCGATTGTGTTGCACACAGATAATACAACACATCTTTTTTTCCTCCAGCTAAAGAAAAACTAGAAGCTTGATTAATATACTAGGGTGCTAGCACAACATGATTCAGTTTAAGATCAAAGCAAAAAACAAATATAACCATTGGAATGTGCAGTGATTTGCTATATTATGTACCCGTTTAAGCACGCCCCCCAATCAAATTAGGCAAAAATCATCAAAATAGTCAAAGAAGATATTGATATTGTCACTAGTGCCCTAGGCATTATAGTTAAATGTGTCTCTCAGATGTCTCAGTCAGATTCATAAAACAAAATCTAGCTGTCTTGAGCATCTAAACAGCACCTCCAATACTTCACTGTCAGTTCCTTTTTACACCTGAGTTAATAGGACCACACCTGAGTTAAGGTATTTACCTAAAGCTGAAAAGAGTCTGCAGGGCTGTGAAATAGGAGGCTGACATGACCAGGAACAGCAAACAGACAGCTCTACTGCAGAAAAAAAGATAGTTTGCATAGTGGAACATCAAGCCCATTAAAAGTGATGGGGAGGGTCTTTAACACTGTGCAGAGAGAGTAGCAGGAATCATAGAAAATGAGGGTTGGAAGGGACCTTAGGAAGTCACATCTAGTCCAACCCCCTGCTCAAAGCAGGACCATCCCCACCTAGATCATCCCAGCCAAAGCTTTGCCTAGCCAAGTCTTGAAAGCCTCCAAGGATGGGAGTCCACCACCTCTCTGGGTAACCGGTTCCAAGGCTTTACTACTCTCCTGGTGAGAAAATTTTTCCTAATATCTAAACTTCCCCTTGCTGCAACTTGAGCCCATTCCTCCTTGTTCTGTCATCTGCTACCACCAAGATCAGTCCAGCTCCATCCTCTTTGCTACCCCTCTGAAGGGAGATGAAGGCTGCTATTAAATCCTCTCAGTCTTCTCTTCTGTAGACTAAATAAACCCAGTTCCCTCAGCCTCTCCTCGTAAACCATGTCCCCTGTAACAGGGGGCTTCCTCAGGGCCAGTCTACCAATGGCCCTCGCACCTGATTCTGGGTCAACCAGCTGCCTCTTCGCCTGCCATGCCTTGATGATATACAATTGATATTAATTAGGTGGGAGGCTGCCCATTTCTTGCCCTACACTGCAGCCCAAGCCTCACAGATGGTATCCACAGTTGTTAACATCACCAGCCCTTCACTGGGCCCCAGAATCCTCGAATCCAAACTCCAACCGGATCCCTCCAATCAGGCAGCCTATTCCGCCCTCATTCTGGGCTGCCTAGCTCCCTGAACTTTTTCCCCTCTTGGGTGTGGTCCCCCCCAGGACCTTTGGCCACACAGGCCCCAACCTCACCTCCAAGGCCAGTCAGAAACCCCAGGACCTCAACTCTAGGCAACCCTCGCGATGGGCCCCTGGCCTCTTTTCACCGTTCTAGTCCTGGCCTCAGCACCGACCAGTCGAGGGTATTCCAAGTCAGTCTTCTGAGTCTATAGCCCACTCTCTAACCTGGGTCAGTCTTCTTGGCCCTACCATGGGGTAACCCACTTGGGTGTGGGAGCTGGGGTTATTAAGGTGCCCCAACCTGCCTTTCACCGGGGTGGTAACTGGGCTGGCATTTTGGGGGGGCTCCCGCCCCACTGAGAGCCCCACCAGGCCACCCACTCCCAGCAGGATGCAGTTTTAGGTCATGGCCAAGACCAGGAGCCTCCAAACCATCCCCTCAAGCTCCTGCCCTTCCCTCCAGGCTACAACCTTGCAGCCAGGCAATGCTTCTGCCAAGCCTACCAGCAGCGAACTACTGTTTATATAGGTGGCCAGAGATCTAAAATGGCCACCGCAATCAAGCACCTGCTGGCTGCTTGGCTCAGCCCTTAAAGTGGCAGGCACCCACAGTGCACTGCCACATCCCCCAGCTCCCTCACCATTTTCATTGCCCTCCCCTGGACTCTCTCCAATTTGCCCACATCCTTTCTGTAGTGGGGGCCCAATCAGGGAAACAGCTGAGAAGAATTCATGAAGTTAGGGAGTGCAGCCCGATCAGACGGCTGGTGTTAAACTTTGGGTGCAGCAGGGTTCAAAGCAGGGTGCCACAGCACCACGGCACCCCACGGATCCGCCCCTGGAACCGGATGGCTCTTAACGGGGCACCTAAACCAGCCTTGTCCCTGCAGCTGAGCACTCGGGTCCACGTGGCACTTTGCCCCCTGGTGTGACTGGCCGAGGGGCGCCGTCAGCTGTGTTTTGGTGCCACCGATGACCCTGGAGGAGGGTCCAGAGTCCAAGGGTGCCAGTCCTGGGTGCATGAGGGGATGCTCAAGGGGAGCAGCCTCCATGAGAAGGGCTGCAGGCTCCTGGCTCAGGCTCCAGGCACACTCAGGCAGCTCCTGCACCCCCTAGGTGCCTTGCTCTCAGAGCCCAGGGCCGGAACTACAACTCCCAAGTTGCTCCGCGCGGCCGCGCATGCGCACAGCTGCGCTGGAGCCCAAGATGGCGGACACAGCGTCCAGCGGCTCGAGCACGGTAACTGCGGGGACGCGGCCCCCCACCAGCGGCCGAGCCCTGGGCCCAAGCGGGCGGGGAACCGGCTCATCCTTCCCGGGGGATGGAGGCCGCCCGGTGCGGAGGCCTCGAGGCCTACTGCTAAGAACGGAAAGCTCTGATTGGCTGACGGGTGCGGGTGGGCGGGATTGAGACTGGGCTGTGGATTGGTCAAAGGTGCTTTGATCCGATTGGCCGCCGCTCCTTTCAATCAGAGGGGTGGGCTGCGGGTCACGTGGCTTGGTTTTAAAGGCACAGTGCATGATGCTGGTTCCCCAGCAGAGCCTCCCTGGCAGAGGGCACGTGGGGCAGAGCAGGGCGGGGAGTCGCATGGATGGAGTCAGGGGCAAGAGGGCCCAGCAGGTAAAGCCAAGGCAGGGGCAGGATGCTTGGGTTCCCTTCCTGCTGGGGGTGCCTCAGTTTCCCTTCTGCCCCCTGGGGAAGCTGCACGCCCCCAGCTCTGGGGAAAGGCAACGTGGCCACCTGCAGCTCCCCACTGCTGCCAGGGGCTGTGTAGGCACCGCCACCGCGGGGAAGCCCAGCTGGACCCCAGGAGCCTCTGATCCAGGGAGGCCGGCAGCCTGCGGAGGGGAGACGAAAAGGACCCGTTGTGTGTCTTAAATCGGAGTTGGGGGGCTCAGCTTCCTCGTCCCTGGCTGTAACCGCTGCACCGTGCTGCCTCCGCCACGTTCCCTTTGCAGGCTGCTGCACCTGGGGGTGTCCCAGCCGCAGGTCTAGGGCTCTCTCAGTGCCCTGGGGCGGATGGTATGGAAGAATCGGCGTGATCTCCGACTTCCCCCAGCTTGTGTCCACGCTGCTCTTCTGTTAGATTGGAACAGAAGGGGGGATCCGAGACCAAGCCGGCATTATATTGGCAATGCTTGGGTGCTTTGGGAAGCCTCCCTCCCTGCCACGGTTGTCTGGCACCTAGTGCAGTTGTTTTTCATTTCTAAGGACTCTCAAGGGGCTTCTCTGCATTAACAGGCTCCTTTGGGGTGGGGACTCTGTTTCCACAGAGGTCGTGTGGCAAATACGCCACAACCCCCGCAGACAACTATTACCTGGCTCGGAGGAGGACCCTCCAGGTGGTGGTTAGCTCCTTGCTGACAGAAGCTGGGTTTGAGAGCGCTGAGAAGGCGGCGGTGGAAACGCTGACGGAAATGTTACAGAGCTGTAAGTGTTTAGTGGCACGGATGAAACTAGTTGTCAATACGGAGGTGAAATTTAGAGGGACCGGTGGAGTTTTGGAGAGCCGGAAAAAAGGGACCTTGTAATACCTGGTATCTCGCTGGAAAAACAAACGGGTGGCTCAGATGTGGTGACATTAATGTGCCTAAGAGATCGCTGCTGAAGCTTTTCGTTGGGTTGCGTTAATTACTTAGACAACACTTTCTTCTAGGCATCCAGCTTGGATGCTTTTGTTTTTTATGCACTTGTATTCATTGGTGTCAGTGGAGGAACTGGCAAGAAGGATGGTCCAGTGGCCTGCTGTTGAGAAGATCTGTACCCCAGTCCTTGCTTCACCATAAGCTTCCTCTGTGATCTTGAGCAAGTTGTTGATCAGAGCCCCTCTCCCAGTGACTTTGATGGCAGTTCATGAAAAATCAATGGGAGTCAAGCAGCTAAATCTGTGACATCTGGTTTCATCTGTAAAATAGAGATAATTATCCTGCAGTACTGTACAGAGATGCTGCGAGGCTAAATATACAATAGAGTTTCAGGTGTTCAGATATTTCAGTAACGAAGACTACACATTTGGCTTTCTGACTTATGTGCCTGCCTCCTAGATCCACACATTGTTCTGTGTTGGCATCTTAGTGGAAGCTGCCAGGTTATTACATTATAGATCTGTCTGCAAGGCCATTGCTGGTCAGAGTGCATTTTTAACTTGAGACCTAAAAAAAGGAAGCAGTAAGGTTTCTGTGTCCTTTCTGAAGTACTTGAAAGGGATCTCTGCAGATCATCTCCAGACTACATATCTGAAGCCAGAATTAGGCTGCTGTATACTGGTAGATGATTGTTTCATGTATCAGTTTTCTGGGCCATGTCTTTTCCCAGATGTTTCAGAAATTGGAAGGAGCGCCAAGTCCTACTGCGAACACACAGCAAGGACTCAGCCGACCCTCTCGGATATTGTTGTTACCTTGGTCGAGATGGGTGAGTGACACACATACAGTGGTTCTCTTGGAGCTGAAGTTGAGGAGATGGGGAGAGAGTGTTTCTTCTGTCCTCAGTCTTTGTGGGATTAGAACATGGCTTGTTGGACCTCAGTTGCCCTGCCGAGCTGCGGCATTGCCTTCCCTGTAGTTGATGGGGGTGTGAAAAATGCCTCAATCCTTGGATCAGGAGCACTGCAGCATAGCGTCGGATGGCTGGGAGTTGGGGAGGGAGCAGTGGAGAGAGTGCTTTTTCATTGCTGGGCAGACCCTTAGTATGAGGTTGAGATCTCAAATAGCATGGGCCTAGAAGGTGTGTTTTCTGTCAGGGCAGACACCTTTCGTGCTTTCTTTACCCATGAGTCATTTTATCGAGCATGATGTGATTTCACTTTATCCTTCTGCCTTTCAGGGTTCAACGTGGACACTCTTCCTGCATATGCCAAGCGCTCCCAGAGGATGGTCATCACCGCACGTACGTGGGGGTATCCTTCCAGCAAGGAAGAAACCAACGGGTGCAGTCCCAAACCATTGTAGATAAGTAGATCAAAGCAGTGAAAGTAGATGGAAATTGTAATGAGAGGGGCCATCTGAGGTTAGATTCGGTTGAAAAAATGATATGAAATAAAGGTCTGATTTACTGAGCAATCAATAAAACGTTCCCAGAGATTTTTTTTAAATAAACGATTTTAACAAATAAAATCCTCTCTTCCAATGCTTGCCCAGCATATTGCAGAGGTCAGGAACTGGGCAGCAACCAAAAGGCAAAATGAACCAAAATTAACAGCAAACTCAACTGTAAAACTGATTCATGCTTTTAAGGACTCCAACAAGGGAACTCAACCATGCACAAGTAATTCAGTGACTGTAAAGCTGTTGATGTTCTTTCAGTCTTGAGGATCTTCAGATCTTGGCTTTAGGAAACTTCCAAAAGCTGTGCTTGAATGCTCACGTATTCCATGCTCTGCCAGCCCCTCCGTATGCATCCAAAGAGCATCTGGTTTTTGAAGGTCTGTTGAGCCCGACACGCTTGGGAGAAATTAGATTTAGATTTTTCTGTAACCAGTGTAAAGGATTGGGGCATCATTTGCCAAACTATGTGCTGTTACTCTGGTGTTCTCAGTGCCCATTGGACTTCCCAAGCTGGTTTTAATTGTTGCCCATATATTTTATAGGTGGGATGAATACAGGTCACTGACAGTTTAAACTAATGATTTCTCTTCTGTGAGATATGTAATGCAGTCTAAGGCTTTTGCTTATGGGAAATGGTCTATTCCTATTATACTCTAAAAGGTCTACTGGTACAGGTATCAGCTCAGTTTAGCATGGCATGTCTCTCATTACGCCGAGTGTTTGGCTGAGCAAAGATGAATGATCTTGTTTTATTTAACTGCAGCCCCTGTGACAAATCAGCCTGTGACTCCCAAAGCCCTGACAGCTGGACAGAACAAACCTCATCCATCGCACATCCCCAGCCATTTCCCTGAGTTCCCAGATCCTCACACCTACATCAAAACTCCAGTGAGTGAGAGAGGCTTTATGATGTATGCCACTTGTCGCTTTGGAGCTGTGGGAACAGGAATCTATTGCATATAAGTACTTGATTATAAGTCTGGTCCCTGTTCATCACAGGGCTTGTTTTAAATTCCCTGGGCCACCCTTACTTGCAGGTTCATGGATTGCAAACCTTCCAAGCTGAATGGTTTCCATTGCATTGCTTTGGTTTATGTGTATTGTTGCCAGCCTAATGATATTGACTGTGCCCGTTAAGCGTGTAACAGGGCTACTGCCTGCAATCTCAAATCTGCTTATTCTTCTTGTTCTCTCCCTCCCTTATCAACAGACATACCGGGAGCCTGTTTCGGATTACCAGGTCCTGCGGGAAAAGGCAGCATCTCAGAGGCGTGACGTAGAACGGGCTTTGACTCGCTTCATGGCAAAGACGGGAGAGACGCAGAGTCTCTTCAAGGATGATGTCAGCACATTTCCATGTAAGAGGCACCTAAAGGTGTACCATGCCAGACACTATGTTAATGGTTAGCTACTCCTTGTAGGAGTACTGTTCCCATGACTGTAGAATCTGTGATGGATTTTTTTTCCAGCATTCCTGAGGTAGGGAAATATTATCCCCATTTTACAGATGGAGAACTGAGGCTCAGCTTTCTGATGGTCACGGGGGGGTGGGGGGGGTTGGGTTGGGTCTCTGGCAGAGCAGGAAAGCGAACCTGGTTTTCCTGAGTCCCAGACTAACCAAAGGGCTGTCAGTTATGAGGGGTATTGTCTGGTCAGGGTGCTGTGTACTAGGACTCTGGTTCTAATCTAGGCTAAGCCACTTTGTTACTTTCGGCAAGTGGCATCTCTTCTTTGGGCCTGGCTTTCACAAGCGCTGACATTGAGCAGCTTACAAAGCCAAGAGGAGCTGCGTGTGCTCAGTTCCTCTGATAATTGGGCGCGTGGTGCCTCAGAAAACGTCTTTGGTCTTGTCCTTTATTGCTTATTTGCTTCCTGCTACCCGTTGTCTTAGACGTAAAATGAATTTAATCAAGAAACATC